TACCTCCCAACAGTGAAAATGTACAGAGTGAAACAGTGAAAGCTATAGTGACGTGTGACTTTTCCTAATTCAAACACTGATGTAACCACCTAGCAGATGCAACAGCAGAGAAGAGGACCTGGTACATCATCGTGACCAAACTGCTGTGTTAATCTAATGTTGTATTACTCTAAATATAAATGCACCAGCTCTATAACAGTTATAGAGGCTGTTCACTCTGCTTACCTGTATGAGCAATGTCTGAAATTTCACTTCTCTTCTGGAGCATCCAGTGTGCATTTATTTACAGCTCATGTATGAAAAATTCCTCCTAAGGCTGCACTGCAAATGAAATTCAACAGCTCTTATCTCTCTCAAAAGTTTATACGGTTGGGTATTTAGACACAGCAGTATACAAACTTCTCTCAGGCCCTCTGCTCTCATTGTCACCCCTCCACCTTTTTAACTTTGAAAAATACTGCGGAAGCAGGAGAATTGGTGGAGATCTGCAAGACCTTTGACATTTTCTTTGCAGCCCTCCTCCAAGTGGGCTCTAGGTTTTATCACTCTCTAAACCCTAACCTTAAGCCTGAACTTGGACATGACCGATACAGCAATGGACCAACTCCAGACAAAAGCCAAGAGCCAACGGCTGTGGCGGGACAGGACTGGCATGGCCCTGGCTGTCCTTCTCTTTGCAGCCCTCTCTGAAGGAGGCTCAACGCTTCACCACTCTCCCAGCTCTAACCCTAAGCCCAGCAAGGACTTGGGCATTCTGTTTGCAATCCCATTGCACGTGGGGCTTTGTCACTCTCCCAACCCTAACCCTAGCTCATAACCACCAAGTCCAATGAAGGCTAAGAGACAAAAAGACCTGTAGGAAGAGGTATCGTGTAACCCCGCATCTCCTTTTGCATTCTCTTGGAAGCCACACTCCACGAGAGGCTCTAAGCTTTATCACTCTCCCAGCCTAACCCTAGTTCTAACCCTAGCTGAAATGGTTGGTTTGGCCAGGACCCAAAACCACCAACCACAATGAAGACCCAGAAACAAAAATTGCCGTAGCAGATGATTTAGTGTAGCCCCACAAGTCCTTCTGCATTCTCTCTGCTGCCCCACTGCGCAAGGGGCTCTCGGCCTCATCACCCTCACAACCCTAACCCCAAGAGCTGTTGTGGCCAGGACCCAAAACCACCACTGCCGATGAAGGCCCAGAGATAAAAAGATCCATAGGAAGAGATACCATGTAGCCCTGCAAGTACTGTGGCATTCTCTTTGTAGCCCCACTCCATTATGGGCTCTATGCTTTATCATTCTCACAACCCTAACTGTGGTTGCGGATGCGATCCATAACCAACCACCCCAGTGAAGGCCCAGAGAGAAAAAAGAGCAGCAGGAAGAGTTATCTTGTAACCCCACATGCTCTTTTGCATTCCCTTTGTAGCCCTACTCCACACTAGGCTCTGCGCTTTATCACTCTCACAACCCTGCCTCTGCCCCTACCCTAACCCAGCCCAAACTGTTTGTGTGTGGTGAGGAGCCCAAACAACCAACCACAATGAAGGCCCAGAAGCAAAGACTGCCGTAGCAGGAGATTTGCTGAGTTCCTCACATCCTTTTTCATTCTCTTTGCAGCCCCACTCCACACAGGGCTTTATGATTTATCACTCTCAAATCCTAATCCTAACCTCGGACCTGCCTGGGACACTAAATTACCAGCCCCACTGAAGTTGCAGAAACAAATTTTGGGTTAGGAGCAGACTCCAAGTCCCTCATGTCACTTGGGATGGCCTTTGTAGCCCACCTCCATGAGGATCACTGCGCTCTATCACTCTCCAGCCCTATCCCTCGCCCCAAGCACGGCCATGAGCTCGATCCAAATCCACTAGCCCCAGCGAGAACCCAGAGTCAAATTTGCTGTCAGGTTAGACCTTACACCTCTGGTGACTGCCATGCTGCCTCCATAACCACCGAAAACATTTTTTCTGTCTGTAGTCATCTGCTCATTAGAAATTATCACTGTCTGTCCTACCAGACAGCGAGGGGAATAAAGGCCTGTTCAGGCTTCATTCCCTGAGCCACAAGAGTGGGACACAACAGTGAGGCCACTCGTATCTGTGAAACTGGAAGCCCAAGCTCTACTCAACCTTCCAGGAAGGGAGTAAGGCCACTTGCCTTTCTGCTGTCATTTATGAAACACTGACAAAAGTACATGGAGAAGAGGATGCTACAGGTCTGCTGGAATGCCACAGCCACCAGCTCGGCAGGTCACAGTACTCTGTAGCAATATAAAATGCACATGAGTTTCCCCTTGCTCAAAGCAGAGGTATAGATGAGTTATTCTAGAGTGAGTAGCAAAAATCTCAGTGGGAAATGAATCTGGTTTTGAAGCCACACCTGGAATCACTTTGCTGGTTATGTGAGCTTGCATCTTGTGCCCCTACATCCTACTACCCATGGATGTTTTTGGTAGTCCCATCCAGAAGGCACAGGGCTGAGCCGCAGCACAGCAGAGCGTGGGATATTTGGATTATCAAGGTGAGCACCAGAGGCAATCCAGCACAGACCAGCCAGCAATTCACCGCAAAGGGAAAGCCAGCTGGCTCTGTCCAGAGCCCTCTCCCACCCAAACTGCCGCGGAGTTTCAAGCAAGCATCCTTCTCACAAGCCAACGTCCCCGTGCAGACGAGCTCTCGGTGAGATGTGGTAGCAGGTAACAGTGCACACTGTGTGACTGCTGGCAGAACCTGAAGTCTGATGCCCCTCCTGTTGTCACCAGTAAGAATGAAGGAGAGGGACGGGGGAAAATCAAACCACCTACACTGCATCCTACAGCAAAGCTGTGCAATGACGAGGCTGCACCGGTTTTCCAACACTAACACTTTGCCGTGCCAAAGGCTATAATGGAACAAGACGGATATTTCTGGGACTTCTGTCTATCAACTTAGCAGCTCCAAAAGGTACACTTTTAGCTTTCTATATTTATAAAGCAGAAGTACAGTTAGCCTTGCAAATCCTTGGTATGCAATTGAGCTAGAAAAAGACTCTACTCTTTTTGCCCATATGAAAGACCTTTGAACTTCTTCAAAGGCTTAGCTTGATGTACTATTTTTATAGCTTTTACCAGACTACTTTCCATCACCTCAGTCCTCCAACAAAACAGACTTCACATATTTTTCTATTTCTTTTCTACTCAAACATCCTGCACCCACATACTTGCAGGAAAAACACAGTAACGATAAACCTGTAAGGGAAGTGAAACATTTCAAATTTTACCTTCAGAATTCAGTGGAGGACTTGAGGAAATCTCTCAAATTCATCCAAATATCAAAACAGAAATAGTACTTTTGTATAATAATAATAAAAAAAAGTATCTCGAGGATGTACAAAAGTAAAGAATGGGGAAATTAGGTGTTTTTCTTCTGATACTTTCAGAGATTCTACAACGGAAAATAAAACAGCCATAACCCAATCAATCCCATAAGTCTTACTCAACAACAGACAGAAAATATAAATTAATAAAACCCTTGATTTATTTCAAAAGATTTGACTTCCTGGAAAGAGTGAGCTAATATTTTTTTCCCTAAAGCAAATTCAGACATCTGGGCATGGATAGGAGGAAGGGAAGAGATTCATATGTACATGCCATACATTGCCAAGCTTTTTAACACCAATATATATTAATACAAGATTTTTTTTTTGTATTTTTCCCTTTTCAAGGCCAGAAAGCAACAATAAGAAAAAATACATACCACACAAACACACAAGACCTCCCCAAAACAGACAGTGCTACAAGCAGATAAAGAAAGATAATCTTTCTTCCAGATATACATATGATCATTCTTTAAAAACTACTTGAAAATTTTAAATCTTGCAAGTAAAAATACGTGTCCCTCATAGCAGATGTCCCATAGTAAAAAGGAAACAGGTAGCTCAAAGAAAGGCAGGAAAAACTGTAAAACTGACACTGAAATGTAAAATGAAGACTGAGTGCAAGCAAGCCTAATATCAGGACAGCATACTTTTGCAAGTAAATCCCCATTCCAAATTTACACATTACTTTCCTGTAACTTTTTATTGTAACTTTTTACCCATTTCAGATTAATAATGTATGTCCCTATAATACGGTCCTCTTTCAAACAACAACCCTAGTGCATTGTCTGTGACACTAAGTTATGTCCTTATGAGAAAGGCCTAAGAACCAGATGGAGATTACCAATCATTTCCTGTTAAGACTTCTTCTTTTTCTGAAGGGAAGGAACATATGAATGACGTGGAACAAGGAGCTACTTTTTTTTTCCATTTTAAACATCTCACCTGTTAGCATCAGTTGATGTTCCTAATTCATGCATCGTATAAAAACATACATTATTTTAGAGCTCTCTGTTTTATGGCTCCTCAGCAGTCACTTTTTCAAGCCACAGAGTCCTAGTTTACTTAGTCATTCCTTATACTGAGTAGCTTCCATACCTGGAAGCCATCCTTTTCTTGGTCTTTTCCAGACATACAATATCATTTTGGGGGCAAATATGACTAGAACCAACACACACACACACAACAGCTTCCCCCTAGTTTAAGATGTCATTAGTTTCAACAATTGCTCACTGTGACATTTTTCAACTTTTTTTTTTAAATAAAGATTAAAATAGAGAAAAATGTCATCATAACCTAATTATATGGCCATCCTTTTTTCTAAATGATACTTCTCTAAGTAGCTTCACTGAGTTTTGTTTTGCCCCCTTTTTAATGCCTAGACAATCATTAGGTGTCTATAAATGAGAATAAACTAAGAAAAGAATAAAAAATGATAAAGCACAGAGATAAAATAGACTCAGGTTTTTGCTCCAAACTATTTGAAAAAGATAAAACATCTGGACTAAAAAGCAGCAAATAAGATGACTAAATTTTACACAATTCCACAGAAATACATATGTCCACAAGGGAAAAAAAAAACTCTACCACATTTTCAATACATTTGTAACATATATATATATGAACATATATTCAGTATTTTAGCTTACCTTTTGGCCAACCACAGTTTGGTTCCTACAGAGGTAATGATGTCAGTCAGTCCCTCCTGAAAGTCTGAATTACTGTGCTGTTTTGATTCCAAGTATGACTGCAGCAAGTGAAAAACCTAAGTAACCCCCAAAAAAAAGAAAAAGAAAATTGAAAATTGCTGTGGAAATACTTTTGAATTCAAAGTTTCTAGTCATTGCCTTTCCTTCAAATAACTAAGCTGCAAACAACGCAAAATGTACAACCATTACTCAAGCTGTGCACTTGAAGAAGGAGGAAGACACAGGAAGAACAGGAATTATTTTTTGTTAATTGTATAACCAAAAAACTTTACAGACTGTGCTTTCTATTTTGGTGTTCTGAATTCTTTCCTTCATGGTGCTCTTCGCCTGCCTAAGAACAAAGAGATGAAATCCTTAAGTTGCCTATTCTTTAACAGTAACTTTTCAAAGTAAATGAACAAGCACACCTAAGAAGTTCTGGAAGATGTCAGCCTCAGCGAAGCGCCTGGAGCACCACTCTTCCCAGCATGGCACCAGCTAAGCATCCCTCGACTTCCAAGCTTATTCCTGTACTATCCACTCAGTAGTGTCAGCACAACTGTCCAGGGAGCACCTCAGCAACCTTGCACACAGGATGCACAGAGCTATCTGTGTTATACAAGCAAAGAAGTAGGAAAGGGTGAAAAGCTGCAGCAAAGGAAATGCCACCTAAGACAAAACTGCTGCCGAAAGAATCTTCTTCCAAGCTACAGCATATACAAATGAGACAGCATATATTAACCATAAGAAGTTACTAAAATTATGCAAGGGAACTGCAAGAAGTCTGTTTCCATCACAAAGGTAATTACAATTCTTGAGTTACTGACTGCACTATTCATATGTTGCAAGAGAATTTTTTCTGCATTACAAAAGTAAAAGATGCAGAGTACCACGGTGAAATAAATATAGTTGACCCTTTAGTCAGTAGTAGGCATCAAATGCCTGTGATTGCCAAAGCTGGCTCACACTTAAAATTTGGATGTTTAGTTACCTGAATCCCAGAGAAAATTTGCTAAGGCCTTTACATAGCTTTTTTCTTTTGAAGTGTACAGTAGCACAGAAGTATCTTTAGTACTGTCCCAGAGATCTTTCATTCAGGACTCCAGTCGCACATAACAGATGCCTGAGTTTCACATAGAAAAAAGCAGCTTATACCCTTTCCTTCCAAGGACAGAAGAGACTGAGCTGCTTACACTGGAGCTGTGGAAGCACCGGACTGTGCTGTCTCCTTCTGAGTTTCACACAGGAGACTCTCAGTCACTTCCTAGCCACCCTGAAGGAAGAAATTCTAAAGACCAAAAGAGAAAACACAGTCTTTAAAGCTTTCTTGCCAAACCGATAAATAAACCAAATAATGCCTTTTCTTAGTGACCTTCCTCTGCCAGTTAAAAACAAATTTTCCAAGCAGTATTGAATACACAGGCATTAGGAAAAAAAGCTATATAGCCAACTGGGTCACAAGCATGAAGAGCAAACAGAGGATGATGTACGGAAGCCGACACCAACGGACTGTTGGGAAGGAAGAGCTTTCCAGCAGTGGGAAGGGACTCTGCAACCAGCCCCCATAGTACTCACCTTCTCTATGTGTGAGCACACTCGTGCTACTTGGGCTTTACCTGTACCATCCACGATGCAAGGGAACAGCTACATGATGTAGTTTCTATACAAAGCATATCGTGCAGTAACTACACCGAAAGGCATCCTCTTACTCAAGGTAAGGAGAGTTTTATATAGGCATAAATTGGAAGCCAAAATAGTGGCCAAAATGGAAGTCAACTCTCTCTGTGCAACTTGCCTTAAAGCCTCAAAATCCTAAATCTATTAATCTACACAGGTAGCTTGCATTGATAGAGTTGGCAGTATTTCTACACCAACTGAAAGAGCAGATGCTCCAATGATTACTTCTTTAGATTGGTCACGCTCAGAATCTAGGACCTAGGGAGCTTTAGAACTGAGATATTATCAAGCCATGTATAAAAATACATACACACACACACACACACACACACGAGCATTTTATATTAAAACACTTCATTTGTGAGAGTATTGGCATCTCACACTTGAAAAGGGACAATTTATGACTAACTCATGAAGCTGGAGTTTTCACCTCATTTGGGAAAAAATGAAAAATCTTCATATTCACATTTTTGTATCTCAGATCTTGGTCTCCTTTGCTACTGGCTTCTGGGGTTCTTTTTGCATTTGTTTGCTTGTTTTGGAAACACAAGTACATCCGTATAGCATTAACTTGACACAATTTCATCTGGGTTATTTTTCCTAAAATTATTCATTTAGAAAAACAGCTGCAGTAGTATCAGATAATCATAAGAATTATACACAGAACAGGAGAGAAAACAAGAGACTATTGAATCCATATAAACACCGAGGTAGGGTCTAACATACTAAGACCAAACACGTGCCTGACTGTCCTGCTCTTGGAAATGGCCAATGTAGTTTCCAGAATACTCATAGGAAACCTCTTCTAGTGTTTCACATTCAAAACCCACCCTCGACTTTTGCCCTCATGGACCAGGAAAACAACTGTTCTCAGGACTCCATTCAGCTGGCTCAAATTTTTTCCAAGTGAGGTACTTACAGAACACAGAGCTCCAGCGAGTCCCCTGTGGCAGCAATAATGAAATAAACTCTCTTCTTCTTGGGCTAACAGCTGCTATGCGTGCAAGAGATTCTGGAAAGTAATCTGCCCCTTCTCTATTTTTTTTTTTTTAATCCTCTGAGGTTCTCTGTATTGAGCATCATTTTATTGATAGGAAACCAACTTTCTAGCTTTCCTCAACCCATTTTGAATACTGGTCTGTTCTGAACATGCACTGTTGCAGAGCACAAGCTTACCAACATGGCAATGATGCTCCATATTTGTAGATCATACAAAAGTTCAATAAGGAAACAGGCCCAGGTGCTGAACTATTTAGGTAATTGACTATTCTTAAAGCCGTTTCTCACTTTGAAACTCTGCTATGGCTAATCATTCCTCCAAGAGGAGTTCTCCCTCTTTCCCCTGGGCCATTGCATAGGTTTTTTTTTATATAGTTTTATGTATTAAGGATCTTCTTCCAAGGCTTAAACATATCCTCCCTCTTCAAGAGTTCTTCCAGGTGATTATTTCAGCTAATGACTAATTCAGACATGATTTTCACCAGACCTCTCTACTTCAAATCCTATTCTTTAGCCTACTCTTGCCTACACAACTGTCCCCTTACTAAAATGGTTCATGCAGGTACCTACTTGAAGTTAACCTTTTCATTAAAATCAATGCACAAGATTGACACTAACTACTAGTTTCTGTCTTTTTTGCAGTTTGCCCTTAACCCATGTTAAGTAGATTATGATGAAGAAAGGGGATGAAAAAGGAAAATAATGTCTATGTAGAAGCTCCCATCATCTTTTATATCCTCTGCTAATTGAAAATCATTTTGTGCCTTAATCTCTCTAATTTTGTTCTTCTACACTTACGCTCACTTCCAGGAATGAGAAGGGATTTACCTCTAAGCAATAATATAAAATCTGTCTCACACCTGTGAATAGGCTATTATATTTTTTTCCTAGAAGCTTACATTAATTTGATCACTTCAGCTTTGAAAACAGCTCCCAAGGCACATCCCTTCTAAATCCACACAAAACCTAAGTAGTTTGACTGTTTAAGCAAAAGATCTTGAAAGAGCTAATACTGCACATACTAAATAGATTGATTTGTGATTTTAAATTAGTCCAGTTAAAAAAAAATTAGCATCAAAAATGCATGCAGAACTTCTCTGCCTTTCGGTCTCCAGATGAACTGTAAACTCTATTACTCAGATGGAAAAAAAATTAAAAATAAATAAATAAACAGAGGATCTCATGAACCATATTTATCACCAGAATCACATAATACATCTCATTTTTTATGTAAGAGTCTGATTCACTCTTGGAAAAATCAGTGTTTACCAAAGGTCGTGTTCAACTACTGCAGTTTACCCCAGTCTCACATTTGGTATATATAAAATACTGACTTTTTTTTCTCATCATTTCAGTCCAAAACTTCCATCATTTATTCAGATTCCCCTCACCAAAAATCACAGATCTTAGTAAATTTTCCTCATAAAAGAAAACCATTTTAGCCAAAGATTTTTGAATAAGTGAACTAAATTCAAAATCGAGTTCTATGTTGGCATACTTTATTCGAAGTTTTCTACAGGATTTTGCACAAGCTAGGATTTTGCAGGCAACAAACAAGCAATCTGCACTAATCCTCCACGACCAGCATGTGTGAAATGCCATTGGTAGCTTGATAGTCGTACAGTACACTCATTTAAGCTTTCCTGATACCAAGACTCCTCCTGTAAATGTATGAAGACATTGCTAACGTAACGTAGCACAACTACGTAGTAGCCACAAAATTAATCTATTGTGGCACACTTTGTTTGAAAGAGATAAAATTAACACAAATTTTTAACATAAAACTAGTAATTTGTAGCATTAACGATTGGGTGACACTTTGGGTGCATACACACATGCTCCTATTTAAAGGAAACAGCTCCCAACATGTGGCTGCACAAAGTCCCTTTCTTAAAGAGCCAGATTTTCCACCAACACTTTCGAAAGTTACATAATTGCAGATTTTTCAATGAAGTGGCAAAAGTTAAGCTCTCCTCCCCCTAAGCTGACCTGAAGCAATAAAAACTTCTGCCTGCATGCCCTTAGCTATGTTTGCATGAAATTAAGTATACAGTATAAACATTCACATTCCTAAGGGCTAGGCTGGAACAGTGCTCTGCCTGTGCAGCTCAGTGGTCCGGGGAGGGGGACAAGCAAACTGACATCACCCTGTACTGCACATTCTCAGCACGGACCATTTATTTAGCTCCCCGAAATACAGATGTGTCACCAGCTGAAATCAAATGCTGCACAAACAGTAAGCTCGGAAAAATGAACCATTCGCCAAACTCTGGAGACTGAGGTAACAAGAACAGAGAAAAAAGGCTTGGCAAAATACTGGCAGTAAGAAGATTATTGCACTAAGCTAAATATGGTATTTCGGAATGGCTCTGTCAAAACCTTTTGCCCGAGTATTAACATG